GTGTGGTCTCATGCGCTGTGGCCCGTGCTAGCCCGCCATTAGCAGCAGCTGCAAGACCCCTGGCCCCTGCGCATACTGTATCTTTTACTGTGCATGAGACTATCAAGCCGGCAGAGGCATTTCGTGCTACTAGCCAGAGAGCTAGAGGACAGGCGCAGGGAGGGGATGGGACGATAATGATCCCCCCTCGTTGCTCTCCATCTGCGTTGCGGTACATGTATGTCTTACCTTATTGCCCGGTTGATACAGGTACCACCGGGTTATGGATGACGAGCGGGGGTTCGCTTTGATATCAGGCAACGAGAAAAAAGGAACATTGAACAGCCAAGTTGCCAAGATGGTTCGAAATGGCCGAAATCTCATGTCCCTTGTGCAGCCAATCCAGGCTGCGATATTCCAGACTCCACGTGCCGGCGAGGTCACGCAGGCCAATTGGGCACGGCACAATTTCACCCCCAAGGCCCAATCACAGCGCGGCACCGGCCTCCGCGCTGCCCATTGGCCAGATTTCCATCAATCGCATCATTCGCCATTTCAGCAAGTCGTCGACGGAGCGGACAAGACGGAAGAGAAGAAAGAGAGCGAGAGAACAAAAGATTGGCTACCCTACAACGTGAACGTGCTGCAACGGCCCACCTGATTTGCACGATTGTGCTCGTAGAGTCATATACGGTGACTGTACGAGCACAGTAAACCCGCACTTGGCCGTGAATCTTTGTCTCGACTCCTCCAAGCACAAGTCCGTCTCTCACTAGCCAGCTGATTAAAAAAGAAAGCAAACTAGTGCTTCGCTCCCGTCTCCAAGGACCCCCAGTCTCCGCCAATGCCTTGCATTTACCTCACGCAACGGAAACGGCGCCGGCAAGACAAATGACTAGCATGGACACAAGCTACCATGGCATGGCTCATCAGGCCTGGCCTGGCCGTTGCTCACCGACATGTTTATCGTGTAACGGAGCTTCTATGACGCTATCTAAGAGGTGGAAACCGACCCAGAGACAGTATTACGCAAAGAAAATCCCAAGAGAAAAAAGAACCCACCGCGGGCGGCGTAACGTGCGGCAGACCAGGGCGGTGTTTTTTCCCTGGGGGGATTTTTTGTTGTTGCTCTCTTTTCGTGGTGTCTCACACAACTACGACGTTGAGCAAGGTAGTTAACGGACTACGGACTACGGGCACGGAGAATGTTGAGCCGATTTTCTTCACAAACGGCTTTGCTAACGAACGCTAGACTCCCGCTAGACGACGAATGGGGGCGCCCGTCAACTTCATAACGGAGGACAGCTACTCGTCAGAGGTACGGAGCAGAAAGTCGTGAGGAGGACTCTTGGCCCGCCGGGACCGAGCTGCACGAAGCTCGCAGGGTTCACGTTCACGCAGGTGAGCAAGCACAAGCAGGAATCCTTGAGCTTACCCCATACTTGTACGAAGAGGCAAGGCAATGAGCCTATCCGATCCGGCCGAATAGTGTGATAGGCCGAGCTAAAAAGTCCACCGCTAGGGTCTTTTAGACCAATTCTGATGCCCTGATGATCACCAGCTAGGAAATAGCACCCGTCTCGCCACAGTGCGCAAGACATACAGGCCCCCCCTAACGAGCATACGGCAAGGGAAAGCAATCTTGGTCCCCTTGTCTCTCTCTCTCTGCTGCTGCTTCTTGGCCAGGAGGGGAAGCTAAATCCCACCCACAAAAGCCACCAGCCACCAAGAGGATTCGATCCGAGAGAGAGAGACAGAAAAGTCGAAAAGTGATGGGCCAGTCGTTGACACTGCTCATTTCCGTCGACCACCGGCCTCAAACACCCAGAGCACCAGACGTCCACCAATGGCTTTGCGTGAACCCCCCATCTCGAGGGCTCACATGGCCGTGAATAAATGCGCCCCAATCTTTGCTGCGTGGTGGATGGTTCGCAGCTTCTGCCCCGAGTTCCACAGCGTAGACGAGCATAACTGGCTTGGTGTGCGAGGTGGCCTCGGACGAAGTGCGATCGACATGTACAAGTATGTACACCACCGACTCTCTCGATCACGCCGAATCGCACACTGTACTACCAGCCTGGCCCCAAGCATGCACTCGGACAGGTAATCTACGGCGAGAGAACAAGATCCATGGCAAATCACACGCTAGCCTCCAATGCTGTTATAAACTCCGTAAGAGCATCAAGTCAAGAGAGACAAAAATTTCATGGGCTTCGGAAGCACACCACCCGGAAGATCCACTAGTAAAAGTACTGCATCTACTCCACAGCAAGTTGATTCTGTACTGTGCATCTGGGGATAAGGGCCCTGGACGGCCTCGGAAGAGGATGCCTTTGGGTTTATTCCCACTCGTGGATGTAGCTCGGCTTTGTTCCTGGAGAGCTGTCATTTCTCCCCCCTGCCTTGGTGTAAAATATTACCAGTCACTCAGCAATCTTAAAAGCAAGGATAGAGTCGTAATCGAATTATTAATTTGATCAGTCAAGTTGCTCAGATGGACTCTTTTCTCTCCGACAGTGCGAGACCCGACCTGACTGGCTGACTGACTGACTCGAAGCTGTCATGCATGTCTTCGTACTAGGGACCTGTTTGGAGCCAGCCTTGGACGAGCTGGACTGGAGAGCTGCGCGTATCCGCATCAGGATGGGTGGACGCTAGTTGCCCTTTCAAAGAGGTCAAGTACAGTAGCATTAGTCGTACGCGGAAAATAGCCTACTTTTTACCTTACTGGCGAGATCGGGGCGGACAAACTGTCTAGTAGCGAGGGATGAGTACGAGTATTCGCGCAAATACCTGCTCCGCAATGTTCTGGTATAAGCTAGATTGGCAGCCCAGAGGCTAGTCGTCCTTACACTGTGTGCGGGCATCTGCGAGTTCATGGCATGAAATGTGAGACCTCAATGCCGTGTGCCCTGATGGAGCGTGATAAACGGTGATTAGCTTGACGGAGTGCATGTGGCGTCCTTGAGGCTGAAGATGAGAGATTAAATAATGAGTAATGAGCACCTATCGGCGTTGATGATCGTATGTCGTCGGAGAGCTGGCGAGCCCCCCTGTTACGCACGGCCGCACTACTCGTGGATAATGGATATGAGCGTTTGTATCCGTATACTTCGTATGTGCCAGAGAACTGAGCCGAGCCATGCTCAAGGCCGGAGATATCAGGACGAGGGACGGGGGAAAAGGCAATGGAGCCGTCGATTTTTTGGTCTCGATTTCGAGAGACACTGGGGTCACCCACTTTCGAGGCCAAGTCTTGACACTACCTTCTAGCCCAAGAACTACCGGGTAGCACGAGTTTTCGTAGTATACTCCGTGGGTAACCAAAATTCCTGCCCATGTACGAGTACTAATCCGGGTGCGATCGGGCATTGAGGGGTCGAGGTCGGTAGCCGAGACTGCGCGGCGGTGATGGAATGGTTCCAGCTCCAGCTGCGGGACAGGGAGGCGAGGCTATGTTGCAAAGGCACGGCGGTAGACGACAAGTATCCTGTGGTATCCTTGCAATATCTGCCCAAGGCGGCCCTGACAAGATTGTGTAAGTCCAACCCGTGAAATCCAAAGGTACTCCTGGTGTGAATAGTAAAGTAGTCGTATATAGATAGAGCTTGAGTAAGTAGGTGGCTAGTAATAGCAGAAGCAGAGACGGTGTTACGACATGTCGAGTAACGCAGTGCCGCACTAGACACCTCCAAAAGCCGATGCTAAGAGACGCGGGGTTCCTGCGAGATCCAACAGCAGCGGCTCGAAAGGTGCTGGAAAAACGTGGGCAGCCCAACGACACAACATGTGTCATACACAGCTTCGTCACGAGCAGCAACAATCTTAGCGAGCGCGAGCCCGTCAGGTTTTATACTCCCACGATTAACGCCCTCGAAGAAGCGAGTGGAAACGATGTGACGCCTATCCGACGACAACACACGAATCTGTAGCATTTGAGATCGATGCCACCAGCGGCAAGGTGACTGACCTTGACTGCTTTGCATATCGCGCTTTGGCCTCGGCGCTTAGCGGTTCACGACAGCCGAGATCAGCCGAGATCAGACGAGATCAGACGCAGACGCAGGAAGGGCCATCACGGAAAAGATTAGGCCACAATTACTAAGGGGCAGAGGAAGATTCCGGGATAAATTAAAAATAGCATCAAAGCTGTGGTCTCACGCGGCGGCCATGGCAGACACGTGCGTGCTGAGTGATGGCCATCCATGGCACCGCGATAGCGCCAGTAGTGTGATTTGCCGCGTCATGACAAACAGAGGGGACAGTAGCTTGTATCTAAGCGCCCGGCTGCGAGCATGAACAGATGGCCGCAGGATCCGTCGCCAAATTTAGCCCGGGATTGGCCCAGAGTGAGGGGTTAACGGACATCTGATAGAAGCAGGGATATGTGTGCTGCTTGTCACTTTCGAAGCAGAAGGAGAGCCGTTTTTGTCTCATTCGGGACCGTTGGAGTCTTGCCGTTGTATTGTGGAAAATTGGATGTTCCCTCGTGGAAAGACACGGAATATGTTGACTTTGAAAACGGCGTACCTAGGAAATCGCGATAGGGCAAAGGAGAATGAATACAGTACCTGATATCTCACCCAATCCACGTTACTACCATCTGTTGTTCTTGTCAACGGCACGGCACTGACTTCAGCCGTTTTAGGCAAATGGACTTTTTCATTGGCGTTATCTCATCTCCATCTCCATCGACAAGAGAAGCAAGAGCAGCAGCAATCCAACTTCCCAAATGCTACCCCGGCCCACTCTCTCCTTCTTTATTCACTCATTCAGTCAGCCACACCAGACCCGAGGCCAGATACAACTGAGAAGGAGCGAGCGGTGCTGTCCTTCCCTTTCTCCTCACTGAGATCGGTCGAAAGTGCGGACTTGCCTTTGTTGCGGAGCCCTGGCGCGCGTGATTGGCCATTTCTTGCAGCCCGGTCCCCTGCTAGCGCGCCATGCTACCTGCGCGAGTGAGCCAATCTCGATCGCTAGGTGGTCTGTTGGCAGGGACTGGTCCTTGCGCAGGGAAGGCGCTACAGTTCGGTTGGTCCCGCGGCCCCTGCCGCTTGCTGCACGAGCCAGCTTTTCGTCACATCCCGCCGTCGAATCAACGTGGCCGGAAGCATTTTTGGGCAGCGGGGACAGGCCGCTAGCGCGCAACTCTGCCGCCACTGAAGGAACCCTCACCTTGTCTCTTTCCTCGCTCGGAACTATCCCAACGACAGAGTACAGAGGTCCTCGTACTAGGTGCAGTACAGCTGCTCGTACAGGCAATCCGAGCACAGGGCCTCGTACAGGTACAGCGCTCGGACTTCGTTCTCGGCATCGTCTCTCGACTCCCTTGCGTCCCCTGTGGATTTTACTGTAGTACGTAGTACATATGCCTTGCGCTACATTGCCGCAGTCACCCGTGTACTCGTACTTGTGCTCGGCATCTGCGGGGAGACGATGCCGCTTCTCAGAGCAGCGCTGGAAATCCCTACCTCGACCTACAGAAAAGCCGGCCAGGGTCTGGCTCCTCTCGCTGCGAGGATAGTGTCTCTTGCAGCCCGCTCTCTGGCCATAATGTTGACCTTCTATGGATACCAGCTCCCAAGGCAGCAATTATTGGTACCGACATCTACCAGGTACTCAATGCTGGGGCATCACTGATACTTGTTGAGGCACGGTGAGGTCACCTTACTCGCGTGTACCCGAACTCCTCTTCCACGACTCGGCTGTTGACAGTTGAGTGCTCTGTACCTGCTTGGTGCGAACATTACGCTGCCTTAGCACTGCTGCAGCAATCCCGCCAACGGCATAGAGCCACAGACGCCTCTGTGGACGGTGGGCAGCTTTTTGCACAATCCCGTTGTGATTCATCTTGGCGACCGTCTTCGAGTACTGCTCAGGTGCCCTACCTACCAAGAAGCTACTGCGAGTATTCGCATGTACTGCGGAGACCTAAGCTTTGCTGCTAATGAAGACGACACCATCAGCTTTGCTGCCGGGGTCTCGATCTGCAACCTCCTTCGTCCAAATACGCTGCAAGTCGCCGATGCGGTTTAGGTCGTTGGGCTCTTGATGGGAGATGGAGAGAAGACCCTGGCAGCTCTCGCTCTAGTTACTCCGTTCGCTCATGTCAAGCAAAACAGAGTTCAAGTACAGTAAGCACTGTACATTTTGCTGCAGCGGCATGTCTGACAGCATTGATGAAAAGCAAGGTACCGAATTGCACAGAGTCTGCTGAACGACACACCATCGTTTGCACGGGTGCTGCTCATTACACGGGATGTGATGCGTGTGAACACATGGCCATCCGCTGGGATGGACGGCACCGCCTACAGGGCCTCGGGGCATGGCTCTCTCATGGCCGAGCTGCTGCCCACGTTCTCATGGGGATGCCAATACTGGCAGTAGTACTGGTAGCATGGCACCTTTTTCGGCGTCATCATGCCCAAAAGGCCCAGGCCAAGCGGCCAGAGGCTTTTAGCCCTTGACCAGCGGGTCTCTCGGACAGACATACGAGCAACTCGTGCGGGTAGCTCGTCCAGCCATCGCCCATTTCTTTCCGCTGTGGCGTTCGGTGTGGGTGACATGTCCGCGGGTCCAGACAGGCATCCAAGAGGAATTTTCTCGCCTCGGTGGTTGGCCCAACCCCGGCCAGCATCTCTCCCGCTAGAGCTGCTCTTCCGCACATCCACCGCCCTCCACGAGTCCAGGGAGCTGCGTTTGAATGAAGCTCATTGGCTGCTCTAAGCGCAGCTCTGGACACAAGCGTCCTTGGTTCCAGATGGGCATAATTAGTGCCATTTGAAAGTCAAAAATAGCAACACAAACTGCAAAAACCTCCCTTGGGAAATCGGTCGAGATGGTCCTTCACGCTTGGCCGCGAGAGAGGCGGCCATGATATAAGTCATGGCCCATCCTGCTCCTCGAATTTAACCCTCTTTCTTTCTTGTGCTGGTGAGAGTATTCAAGTGTCGCCAAAAGGCTTTCCCCTTCTCTTTTAACCCTATTTCCCCCTCCGCCCTCTTCCTCCTCCTCTTTGATCAGGCATCATCATCATTTCCAGTGAAAAGCAAGCCGGACTTGCTTGGAACCAGTCATTCACTATACACACTATTCAACTTTATTTTTTGCGCAATTTCACCAGAATCCGTTGACGGACGAACAAAGCGACACCGTTGTTTGATACGACATCTCGCTTCGACTTACACCGACCACTCAGATCTGAAAAGACCGACTCGTAATTTAATATTTTCAACTTCGGGCCCGAACAGCCAGCTTTGGCAGGACAGCCAGCCAGCAACAGAACAGTCCAACTAATCCTTATCGCCTTTCATCGTCCGAGACCTGGACCCCCGGCAATACAAACGGCGGCATTGACTGGATTTGCTCATCGTCCCGCTCCTTGCCCAGCCCCACAACAAAGGACATACAGTGCGATTCCCAGCCGGCCAAGCACAGTATTCTTCACACCCCTGCCGGACTGTGCAAGTACACCCCTCCCCTGGTCCCTCAGCGCACAAAGAGAAGGTACCTTGGGTGTTGAGCATCGCAAGCTACAAATGTCTACCCTGCCCCCCAATCACCACAATATCTTGTCAAGAGCATCAATGAATTCCGTACACATGGCCGTTTCGCAGTCTGGGAAGGCCAAGGCGGCCCCCAAAGCCAGCAATGGCTCAACACGACGCGGCACGCAGATGCACCGCCGTTCAAGAACAGGTATGTCACTGACACATGGACGAGATGCCTCTCCTCGTCTATCTATATTCTACGACTACTTGGGGAAAAACACTCTGCACTGAAACTTGGACTAACTCGGAGATCTTCTGTTGTTTAGGTTGCTATACCTGCAGATTAAGACGAAAGAAGTGCGACGAAGGCACTCCTCTTTGCACAGCTTGCAAGCACCTTGGCCTGCAATGTGAATATAAGCGACCCATGTGGTGGAGCAACAACGATGCGCGCAAGAAGCACAAGGAGGATATCAAGGGCATCATTAAGCGCAAGAAGCTGTCAGAAAAGTCATCGCACGCCTCCATCTCAACCTCTGTCACTTCTTCACCTCCTGGCCTGTCACACTCCGTGCCCTCATCCGCCACATACACCGATCCCATGGACCGCAACAGGTCTGCGTCTATCGATTCTCACTTCTCAAACGGCTTCAACTTCAACGGCCCGATGCACCAGGCCGACTACTCCTCTTACAACTCTCAAATGCCGCCAGACTTCATGATTGGCTCCTACTCACCCTACGAGATTGATGTCAAGACGGAGCGACAAATGTTCATCAACGACATCCCAACGTTGAAAGAGTCTCAAGTGTCTACCTTTAGCACTTACTGCCCGCCTCCGCCACCAGGAACCGTCCTGCAGTCGGGTAGCCTTCCGGGAAGTTGGGTCGAGCAGGTTCACGAGGAGCGCCGCGAATCGCTGGCCGAGGAGGCGCTCAACGTCAACTTCTTTGACTTTTCTCACGGACCTTCCTACGACTCCAGGCAGGTCAAGATTGAGCTGGATGAGAATGACCAGCGCTTGTTTGACCACTTCATCCAGTTCGTCCTGCCCACCATCTTCCCCATCCTGGAGACGAACCAGCATGGATCGGTGGCGTCAGACCTGATTCTCCCTGCCCTGCAGTCCAACAACACATATCTGCACTGCTGCCTGAGCATCGCCGCCCAGCATCTCAAGTCTCTGTCCGCTGGTCCCAGCGAGGACATTGACCATGACATCATGCGACACCGCTACGCGACTATCTGGTCGCTCTGCGAGTCGCTGAAGCGCGATGAAAACTACCAGCAGATCCTCGAGGCTACTCTTGGACTCATCTTCTTCCAGTGTGTCGTTGGCCGCTCGTCAAACGAGGAGCTGCTTGACATTGCATGGCACCAGCACTTCCAAGCTGCCATCAACCTGGTGACCAAGCTGGACCTCCCCCGTCAAGTCTTGGACCCTGCCACGCCGATGACGCAGACTCCATTCAACATGACCCTGACCGCCTGGATTGACATCCTTGGCGCCACCATGCAGGGAACATCCCCTACCTTTGCGCACACGTACCGCGAGAAGCACCTGTCTCAAGCAAATCCATACATGGGTCTGCGCGAGCTCATGGGCTGCGAGGACCGAGTCATGTATCTCATTTCTGAGATTGCCTGCCTCGAGTCTCTCAAGAGAGACGGCATGGATGATTTCACTCTCTGCCAGCACGTTTCCGCCCTAGGCGAGCAGATCAGCCTCACCGAGGTCGGTGAGTTTACGCCCAGGATGCCCTACAACGCCAACGGCACACTGTCGCCGAAGCAGCTTTCCAAGAACATCACGGCCGCCTTCCGCCTTGCGGCGCGCATTTACCTGTGCAGCTTGGTGCCTGGCTTTAGCCCTGAGCAGCACTCACCGATGGGTCTGGTTGATAAGCTTACCAATGTCTTGCGATTTATCCCGTCGGGCCCAGAAGGGTTTGACCGCAGCTTGGTCTGGGTCTACCTCCTGTGCGGCTCCATCAGCCTGCCCGGCTCCGAATTCCGCGCCCTCTTTGAGGAGCGCGTTGCGCAGCTCGGCGAGCAGGCCAACTGTGGCTCTTTTGGCCGAATGGTCATGGTGCTCCGTGGCCTCTGGCTTCACAACGACAACTTGTCGAGGCTCGGCACTCCCGAGAGCGCCGGCTCCGATGTGCCTCAGCAGTATCTCCATTGGCGAGATCTCATGCGGATGCAGAATATGGACTACCTGCTCATGTAAGGCGAACTTGGCATATCTTTACAAGCTGGTCTTTGAGGTGCGACAAGCACAAGAGCCTGTTTGAGCGGCCAATGTTCCATGTTCTTCCTTTTCCACCACAAAGGCAAAGCAGGCATTTGCCACCTTTCTTTTCTCTTTTATTACCTTTTTTTTATACTTCATTCTTTTATTATGATTCGTTCTTAAGAGATGCCATCTCCACCTTTTTCACATATACCCCTTCTGAGATGGGCTTATTAGAGGATGCCGCAAGGCAAGAGCAGGGCTCACAGCGGTTTTTACACAAACAGAGATTAGTGCGATATGGGAAAGCCTTTGACACTTTTGACACACTTTGGATAACTTGGAATACTTGGAGGAATTAACGAAGACTTTGCGTGGATAGTCTGCCTGGATGGCAGACTGGTGATGAATGATGCATTTTGGATTTCTTTTCCAACGTCCCCATTTGTGGGACTTGAGTTTGCGGTATCACGCTCGGCATGCTTTATGCTTATACAATATACCAGGCTGGCATTGGGCTCGGCGCAATACGTGTGCATTTGGGGTTTTCATTTTCTTTTCTAGGCCTTTGAGAGGACGGAACGCCTCCATGGCTGGTTTTCATGAAGCATCTAGCATGGATATGGGATACAGAAAGAATGAGAGCAAGCTGGCGGCGATCATCAGGGTTGGGATTTAGGAAACTGGAGTTTCTGTTGAATGATGCATGTCTTCTCATACAGACATGATTTAGTTAGTCTAAAATATCAATTTGATGACTATTCATCCCTTAATGTATACTTGTGTCTATTATGAGCTCGGCGAGAGATGATGAGAATGTGACCAGGGTCGATGTCGGCACTCTAGCATGTTGCATTGCTTTTTGCACAAAACGGCATAGATAGCGTAATGAATTGAGTTTATCAACATATTGGCCAGGTAATATATTTTATACGGTTTTACGACATGATGCATCCTTTCATTGGCCCATTTACGGGCTACTGCATATTGTATATGCATATGGATATTAACTAATATTGGGTGAGAATATGCAAGATGCAACCGGTGGAGGGTGACATTAGCGGGGAGAAGAGAAATGAAGAGAGGGGAGACCTTTGAATGGAGAGATAGGGCAAAGGAAAGAGAAGAGAGAGAGAATCTCCATAGAGCGATGCCCGGGCAGATGGAACCGATGATGGCATGTTTTTTTTCTTCTTCATTATCGGGAGGGGACTGCATCCACTTACACAGAGAATTACGGCATTTTGGGTAGGGATAGTATTTATCAGGCAGGCAGCCTGTCATATTCAGAATCTCACCGAATCGGGGTGATGCGGTGCGTAGTACATCCCTGCCCGGAGCGAGTGAGGGCCGAGGCAAAAGGTATTCAACATGGCAGGAAATCAGCTGACCGGATAAAAAGAAGAAGATGTAAAGTTTTTGTTTGCATCCGGGGATGGAGAACGGGATAAACTCGAGCAAGGCAGATAGAGAGCAAGGACGAAGATGCTTGTACAGTAGAGCACTTTGCTCGGCATGTCTGCGGACGAGTCCCGACTTTGGGCAGGGGGAAGCATTCGGGTGGAAGGGTGTGGGTGTACAAGGAGAGAAACGGGCTGCCATTGCAACCATAGGTACTGCGCCGCGGAGAGAGCCATGCGAGAAGCCATAGATCCATGTAAAAAATGATAATAAAAAAACCGAGAGTCAATGTGGCCACTTTAGAGCGAGCCTTTCAGAGCGTGTCGTTGCATGCGTACTGTGAGGAGAAACAACGGGGGGTGTGGCATTGCATTGCAGTTTTTAGTTGAATTTTTTTTTCTAAACTGTGGCGATGGATGGCGAGGTCAATTGGCCGGGGAGAAGCAAAAAAAAAAAAAAAAAACGATGCATCTTCTGGACCGGGGGTTGGAGGGAGGGAACAAAAAAACCGACAGGGCATGGGATGATTGGGTTTCAGACGTTGATTTGCTTGTTGGTGTTTTTTTCAAACCACGGGGACATCAATGTTGTTGGGGCGGGCCTTGGCGTGGCGTGGCGTGGTGGCGGTGCGGCCCAAAATTGGGTGGCGTTTTTGAGTGATAGGTACCTGATTTGATGTTTAGATGGTTTTCGGACTATTGATATGCAGAGATGGGGTGGTGAGTCTCAGCTGAGCGTTGGCGTGGGCGAGTGGGTGAGCTGGACAAGAAAACACGTATAACGGACGCGTATGTGTGTATGTGTGTGTGTTGGCTGTTGAGGTGAGGGAGCCCAGATGGGACGGGTGGATGGATGACGGGCGGGAGGTTTGGACGGATGGGGTAGGTAGATGGAGCGATGTTTGTGTAAGTCATGGGTATGGATTGATTGATTGATTACTATGCGGAAGGGGAGTTGCGTTGCGGAGAGGCAGTTTATCGTATTTTGATGCTTTGTGTGTGTATTAATCAATGGTATGATTGATTTGCTGTGTAGGTGCATCTACGAGGAGTGTATCAAGCTGCAGCATTGGGGGGACAAGGACGGGTTACAACAACCGGGGAGGACATGGACGACAACCGCACGAGAAGCCGAAATGTCGGACTTGGTGGAATTATTTTTCCTTCTTCCCAAGGAGCAGGGGTAGCTTCAAAACAGTGAGGCGATGGCCCAGGGCAAAAAAGAAAAAACTCTCGGCATTGGACCTTTTGCTGGGGGGAGAGAGGATGAGGAGTTTTGAGCGGGTGACCTCGTGCATGTACAGGTACAGGCATTGCAGGTGGGAGCATGTACATGCAGTCCTCCATGCTGGGGCACGCTGTATTACTACCTGTACTCTGTTGGTGACGGGCGAGAGAGTGAGTGCAGCATGCAGGAACATGGAGCGCCAAGGGGATTACAGGTACCTGGTAGCACATGGGACGAGTGTACAGCTCCATCTGATACGGGGTGGTGCAAGTACAGGTACCAGGGGGGCCAGAGAGGGACAAGGACCGGTGCAGTATACAGCCCTGCTTCGCGGGAACGGAGGGAAATGCTGCTGGGTACAAGGGGATAGCAGTAGGAACACAAAACGAAAAGGAAGACAGATGGTGGAAGCTGCATGACAATGGTGACGAGTGTTTGTTTGGAAACAAAAGTAAGACGGAAGTCTAACCGGGACCGGGGGTGGTGGTTACGACAATCTCTTCTCCGGCTATCTGCCTCTTGACTTTTCAGGTGTTCTCGTGTACTCTCACTCTTCTTATCCATCCTCGCTTGGATTTGATGGTGTGGAGTTTTTTGATATGGCCGAAGAAGCAGAGGAAAAATACCTAGGACGGCCCTTTTGCACACGGGGATGCTCCGGGGGGAGTGGTTGTACCGCAGAGTGGCATCTGGAGTGGCATCTCTGGCCAAAGATGCCGAGGGAGAGCGAGCGGGTTGTTTGGTTTCATGGGGGGCATCGTTTTCTGGTTTGGTTCTTGGTTTGGCATGTGCTCAGTGTGTAGGTAAGCCAGCGATTGTGTGGAGTAATAATAGAAGGATTTGGATTTGGATGCCAACTAATACAGAGTACTGAGTAACTAGATGCTCCCGGTGAATTAATTGTTTGGTTTCGCCGTCGAGGATCATTTCATCAATTGTCTCATCTGCCGTTCAATTCCATTCACTTCCATTGGCTTTTTTCTCTCTGTTCGAGCAACATGTACATCTACACTGCCGCCCAGCTGCTGCACACTGCCGCTGCTGTTATAGGCGCCCAGCCAAGGCCCCCCTCCAGCGGCTACAGCACATCAAAGGCGCCTACCGCACAGCCAGTTGTTTCTCTCCAGGGCCAATGAGCGCCAACCACCTCCTCCAGCGCGCCTAAACTGAAACTCGAAACCTCCAACCTGCATCGCCAGCCCACCAAAGCTTGCCAAACGCTGAGCATCAACTCCATCCATAAGCTACGGTATGACGCATCGTCCGTCGCCCGCCGTGAACTGCCCGCCAGTCGTTTGCTCAGGTACCATGTCGAAGAGCTCCGTCCTACTATACTTACTACAGCTGCCACCATGACAGCAACTTGCAAGACAAGCTGGCGTGCTGACATGGACTTATTTGAGGCATCTCCAGTCGTTCCTCCGGGAGTTCACCCTGGTCTGCTCAGGCGTGTGTCGAGTGGCACTGGCGCCGGGTAACCGCTTTTCGAGTGGTTCTGGAGCGTCGACTGGCTACTTGGCGATTGTTTCGACAGCCTGCCGGACTTGCATTCACTCGCTGGCAGTGCAGAATGCAATCGAGTGGCCCTTGAAACGTGCTCGTGCTCGACATGGTGAAGAAGCCGCCCAGGCATCGGGATCTGGAATGATGCCGCTTCTGAGACGCGCCAGAGCGGATTCAACACGCCAGAGTCGTCTGATGCGCGCCTATCTATTATCTACTATATGCATTTACATCGTAGTCTTCGTATCCTATCCAGAGGCCTCGCTCGTCTCTCTTAACCCGCCGTGACTTGAGTCCCTCCTAGTTTCGTTTCTTCACCTATTCTTTCCACTCTCTATCCTTTACCCTCTACCCTCTCTCTATTCTTCATTCCCTTTTCCTTACTTACTTGCTTGTTCATGTTACATTCATTCACACATTGACAACCGTTCAGTGCTTGCTCCTCCCCCCGCTGTTTGGTATATGCCCTCCCTCCACTTTGTCTTTGGAACACACGCAACCCGTTCTTTGATCTAACACACGAGTGCCAAGTTCACCTCGTGACGACTTTCTTTCACGTTCACATATCGCCACGAATTTTCCACTTTTGTCTTGCTTTATCCTTTACTCTTCAAGAGTCTTCCGTTCAGTGGCTTACACGGCTGCTGGTTCAGCCAACCCCTACCGATACCGACGCCGACTCTCCTGGTATCCCATACTGAGGACGATAATCATATAATCATCAACTTGGGCGTGTTTAATCAGAAGTTTTGTGGCCAAAATACAATGACTATTGCATCACGGTCTGCTCGTCTCTTGCTGCTGGTTTCGGCATTGGCATCGCTTGTCTCAGCCTCGCCCTTGGGCTCCGTCTATATCCAAGACGCGCAGTGCCCTGCTAATTTCAACTCCTGTCCTTCGGGTCTGCCCAATAACTTTTGCTGCGCCACGGGAACATCGTGCCTCCCATTAGCTGGCAACACGACGGCGCTGTGCTGCCCAAACGGCGAGACCTGCGAAAAGATCCAGCCCATCACCTGCGATGTTAGCCAGCAGGACCCGACCAAGAACCAAAACTCGCCGATCAAAACTAGCATCTTTGACGTTGCGTTGGAGAAATGTGGCACAAACCTCTGCTGTCCGTTTGGATATTCGTGTTCTGGAGATAACACCCAGTGTGTGAAGAATTCTGATCAGAGCACATCTCCGGAGAAGGCCAGTTCCTCATCCAGCCCTTCGCAAACAAATGCTTCACAAACAAGCACTTCACCCGCAAGCGCTACATCAGCGACCACTGCGCCGACTTCTGCACAAGCCTCTTCTACACCTGCCTCTTCTCTGGTTGTTGCGCCGATTGCTACCACGCCGACGTCGTTCCCAACGGAAGAATCGACTGTCCCATCAACCACATCGGCCCCTGATGCCTCTCCCACGGCCGACGCAAGCTCCGGCGCGCCAGAATCGACATCTTCCAAGGCAACAAACCCAAAGACAGTGTCCATAATCGGTGGTGTCATTGGAGGCTGCGCTGTCCTGGCTGTTCTGGGAGCCATCTTGTTCCTCTTCATCCGTCGCCGCAACCGCCGCAGCAAGAATGGCTATTCCGAGAAGACTGGCTTTGGACGGATTAAGCATCTCGGCCCCGGTCCTCAAGGCACCAGCATCATGGTCTCCGATCCCATCCTCCAGCCAAACTCTTACCGCGCCGACTTTATCCGCAAAAGTCCCTCCATCAGCTCTTCCATCAGCCAGAGGCCTCCGCAAATTGTTCTCAACCACCATGATACATCCCAACGTCTTTCCATTCCGAATCCATTTGACTCTCCTAGCCCTTCGAACCACTCGCCTACGAGCTCTCGAGATTCCACTACTTCGGAGGACGAACGAAATGCTCGCACAGGGCAGGTTGAGTCTCGGAACCGGTTGGCTCCTATAAGAGCCATGAAAGCTTCCAGCACCAGAGTCTATCCGCAGAACGTACCTAGGGAGCCAAGCGGAGAGAACATCAACATCTTTGCCGACCCCATCATGATGCATAGTGATTATGATAGGCGTCAGACGCACGCCACGACGTTTACGGATCTCATGGTCGAGGCTCAGCTTGACGACGTACACAGAGGGGAGCCATATCTCGGTCCCCATTCGATGAACAGAATATGACACCCATAATATCTCCCACTCCTCTCTCTCTCTCTCATCATTTAGTCGAAATCTATACGTCATGATGCTTCTTTTTTTCCAGTTTGTCGTTGATGAAGCAGTCTGCTTTGTTCTGGTTAGGTTTTCCTTTTTTTGTTTCTCTCGATTTTCCCTTTGTTTTAATCCTCCTCCCTATTAAAATTGTGCATACGGCAACGAGAGGCAAATGGTCTTTGTTATCTTCTTTTTTTTTTTTTTTTGTCATTTTTCTTTTGTTAATAAGAATGAGTGATACCATGGATTCCAAGCGATTCCATTTATTTTAACGATATACATTTTCCTTTGTGTATATATACCAAGGGCTATGGGGGGCGGTCAGAGATAGTATGGCGAGGCGCTTAATTTGTTTGGGTGGATGGGATTGGAAAAATCGTTATTGTCGATGGGAGGAAGCATAAACAAGCAATAGCAACTTCGTTGAGAATGTGGTCAAGGGGCGGTAGTCTGCGATAGTAAATAGCTGGCTTTAATACTCCGTATACTCTGCAGAATATATAAAAAAACAAAGTATTTAGAACCACAAGCACCATAGAATGAGCTTGAGTGAGTATGCCTAAGATGACAAGTATCGAGGTGGTGGTATTAACACGCTATCAACATTGATGCTCTTCCAAATTCATGTTCTCGCCATACATTAACGAATGCAGCTGTACTTGGGTGTAAATATATATATAATAGTAAAATGCACGCAACATCCCTCTCATATACACCACGCACATTGTCGCTCAATATCCAAATCCCGTATAAAACAAAAAAACGACTCCCAAAAGCATCACTTTTTCTTCTCTTTCCCTCTCTTCTTTCTTCCGCTTCCCTACACGCTATGCCGATGATAGATAGATGCCCATCATAAAAAAAACAGAAAAACAAGACAAAAGACAAAAGCAAAATCCAAGAAAACAAAAACTGCAGTAGACGACCCGGTATTTTGTTTTGACGATATCCAACGTAAAAAATCAGAGAGTATCTTTCGGGGAAAATAAAACTGACAGACAACCGCTTTCTCGCTTTCTCGCTTTCTCGCTTCCTTGATGTAATTATATATATAGTTGCCGGCCAACACATCGGCTGCGGATGAATAATGGAAAAGCAATAAAAAGCATTGTAAAACCAATTCATTACATGACGCTGCACTTCTTGTCTTTATCATGATGGTCTTTTGGCCGCACAGGCGGCGGATCCATGTCCATCCAGATGCTGCCATTGTGATCTTCCTCCGCAATGACCGGCTTGGGGACCTCTTTCTTCTTCTTCTTGGCCGTCCACCCTCGCTTCTTTGCGTCGCGCATGTTCTTCGCCGCGCTCCTTTCGGCTCGACTAGGCCGTCTGTTTACCGTCGATGGCTGCCGGCCAGGTGAGGCTGGCGGTCCCTTCATCCACGTTGGCAAGACAAGGTTGTTGGCCTGTATGGGTTGGGGACGGCCAGTGGAGATGGTTTCTAGTCTCTCTACCGTGGGAGGTGCAGCAGAGCCACCAGTTGGGCGAGGCCTTCGGGGCACAGGTGCCACAATCGGCAGATCGCCACGGCGGGATGTCCTTCGCCCTGGAGGATCAAAAGCACCGCCTACACCACGTGGAGTGCTGATGATCAGGGGTTGGTCAACGTCAAGATGAGCCATGTTTGCTGTAGGGAGAGCTAGTGAGCCTGCAACCGGCTGTGGTCTCTGAATTTGCTGGTCATATGTCGAAATCAGGCTGCCTGCAAGGTTGAGAGGATTTCCCTGACTGGCTCTCCGAATCAGCCTGGCCATTTGGTCCGAGCTAGGAGCCGGGGGCAAGGCTGACTGCAATTGCACCGGTTCAGCGTAAGTGGAAGAAGGCGTTGGGTAACTTTCAGACGACGGAGATACTAATGGCCAAGTTTGTGCATTCGATAGCCTTCGTACTGGTACAATATTACTTGAGGCGCTGGTGGTCCCTACCGTTGACATCGGAGAAGTATCGAATCCAAGTCCCGGCCCGCCAAAGTCGAATTCGGGATGCACCAGAGGACCTACAGTCGCTGGACTGCTTTCATAAAGCCCTACTGAAGTGTTTGATGTTGCGGTTGTCGGCCGTGGCGTGGCAGAATTTTGAGAAGTAACTATGGACTGGCTGTCTCGACTTCGAACCCTCGCTGGTGAAGCTGGAGGGGATACGTCGTATATGTCCTCATGATCCAACGGACCGGAGGTGCTTGATAGTGGTAAATGCAGTTCTTCATCAGCTCGTAGCCTGCTTATCACGGTTGAGTCGCTGGATGATCTGGCATGGTTTAATCCGTGGTCGCCGAGATGGCCCGCCGCGTGAGCTGCCAACGATAGATTCGGTGGAATCACCAGGGTCGGTGGCTGAGGCGGAACACTGTGACTTGCTGGCATTGGCAGATACTGCTGCGATTGCGTCGGAAGTGAGGCTGGCGCCAAAATTGCGCGGCCACGCAGAAAGGCGGGCGTGTCTCCGGGATCCTCAGCTTGGTATGGAGGTGGCGGTGGTTCCCAATTATCCGCGTCACTCTCGTGAGGATGCTCTCTCCTACCGTCGGCTCGACGGTACTCTATGGGGCGCCCATCAGCTGTCCGAGGATTCAACAAGCGGTTGGCAGCAGCGACTGTAGCTGCTCGGCGAAGAGTTGTCCCTGAGCGCGGACTAGAGTGCGCATAGGGGGCGTCCATGGCTTCCTGTTCCTCAATCGACAAGAACTCCTCGTCGTCGACGACTGGCTCGCGTATGATTGGCCGGTTTGCGACAGGATTGCGGTTCATCGTCCTTGGTACTAGGGGGTCGTCGTCCTCGTTGCTCCTCGTTGATTCAGGCGAAATTGGCGACACTATATGGTGGCCGGGTCCAGATCCGGTAGCAGAGGTGGGAGTAACGGCGATGGTTGCAGTTCGCATCAGGCTGCCTCTCCTACCCCCTGCTCTTCCTCCGCGTTGGGCTACCGTCCTCCGCCGCACAATGGCAACTTCGGTTTCGATATCGCGCTGCTCCTCTTCAAGTACCTCTGCATCATCGGTTCCCACCTCAATGGCGATCTCAGTCTTGGTTCCGTCGGTGAAAGCATATCCAAAATCCACCAGAGCAATTCTGCCGCCATCGACAAAATCCATGTCCTCGTCTTCGGTGACAAGCCTAGGCCCAGAAACTCCAGAGGCAGTAACGATGAGCCTCTCCTTGAGTGACGTATCGCCATATCCTGAAACCCATTTCACATTGCTCACGCCAGTAAGCTCCGATGTTTGATGTCCCGCCACAAAGTTATTCCTCAGCTTATCGCACAAAATCTGCCACTGAGGAACTCTACCTGTGGGAGCCGTGGGAGGAACGACCTCCTGTGTCCTTGTCGATGGCGATCGCGAGGAATGGCTTTGAGCACTGTTCCTCCGAGCCAGGCCAGAAGCATTGTCGGTGGCTGATGGAACTTCGGGCACCGCAGTCAAGTCCTCAGGCACGCCATAAATCCAAACCTCGCTACCGTGGAAACACGCCGATACCAACTCACCATGATACGTAGCTGAAGGCAGTGTACAAGGAAGCAGCTTGGCCTGTGACGATGTTTTAGGCACTGGCCCGGTGAAGTGCGTGGTGCCGTTTCTAAGGTCATCAATCCGAACGGCTCGAAAGGTCTCGAAGCTACGGTCATATGCAAATGCCCAAGCGGCCTCCTCCTGACTTCCGTCCTGTAGAAGAACGGCATGGCTGCAGTCTCGACTCGAGTTGGGGAACAGGATGGATGTGGTCCACATTGCGCTGAGGTTCTCTTCGGCTTGTTCCATGGCAAGGGCGCTGGGATCATAGTACGGCGCAGTGATGACGACCGTGCTCGGTGGAGACGAATGTAATGTTGTGCCAAGAATCTGCGTGCCGTCAAAGGAAAAGGCCAAAGCATCCACTGCATCACACTTGACCGCGCGCCTTTCGGTGGAAGATGCTCCACGGCTCAGTGACTGAACCTCAATGCCTCCATCGTATGCTGCGGTGAGAACAGTACCGCAGGGCGACAGCGCAATGGTTCGTGGGTTGTTGTCGAGTATCATGGACTGCTTCCGTTTGGGCGGAGACTGTTTCAGATCGTAAATGTCGACTTGCATCTCGGTAGAAAGGACGGCCAAGAGGGTAGCATCGTTGGAAACGCATGCGGATACCGGGCGGCGCAGCATCTTGAACTCGCGCTTCATCTCGATACCCGAGCCTTGGGCATTTATCAGGTACATCCGTGATGAGTTATAGGCCAATATGTGGTGCCCGTTTGAAGACGTGGTGAAGCCCATACCCTCTCCTCCCGGACATGATGAAGAGCTGATGGCCTTGGAAATGAGTTTAATGATGGTGACGCTCGGCCGCACATAGGAGTCGAAGAGGTTTCGTTTGATTTCACTGGCGAACATGCGCCGCAGACGAGGCAAGTTGGCGTCATCGGCGGACGGCAAGCTGGCATGGGACGTGGCATATGTCGGACATCGTGCGAGGTGGTATCGGTAGAGATGCGGGCGCTGTGACACTTCTCGCCATTTGCGGTTGAGCGTCATGAGCGAGGCGAAGCCATTGGGATCCGTGGCTAGAAGTATCCTGTGATGCCATCGTCAGATTTTTTATTCCCCTACCCGCCCTTTATGCTCTCTCGCTCTTCCCTTGTTCCCATTTTGAAGCCTCGTCTGCCAGTCCAGGGGAGAAATTGCTCACTGCTCGATGATTTCGTCTGGTAGCCCGTCAAAGGGTGGCGGCGCCTCGAGGACGATGGGCACCTTTTCGATGCTCAGCCGTCGCGCCTCAGGCGGCGCCTCGGCGTCGTCCATGACGCTACTCCACTGGCAATCGGTTGCTTATACACGATACGGCATGTCCAGCAGAGTCGGCGAAGGGGGAGAGACGCTGCCTGTGCAGCTGGGAAGAGTCGCGATGTTGGCGGAAAGGCTCTGCAGAGGAAGAGACGGCGGATTGGAGGAGCAGAGGAAAGGATACGAATAGGTAAAGGGAGTAGCCAGTGATGAGGCGGAGGAACGTGGCTGAGAGGCTCTAGTCAGTTGTCGAGGCAAGGCACCTTGAAAAGTAGAGGTGCGGACGCTACCTTGTACGGAGTAGCAGCATGGACGCCAAACATGACATGTGCAAGTACCTGGAACGGGGTGCCCGCACGCACCTATGCCGGAGTAGCGGGTACTTGCTGGGTGGGATTAGGCCCTGTCAAGCCTGTCTCTAGAAGCTGAGCTTCCCGATGTTAGTGGCCACCCGCGCCCCATGCGGGCCAGCTAGTGCGGCAGAGAAGCCCTGGAACAACAGAAGGTCAAGGTGTCCAAGCACCTGTAGAGGATTGGGGCTGATTGCAGTGACTTACCTGTAGATAGTTGATGCCAAGCAGGCGCATGAGATTTGATGGTTAGTAATATCCATATTAAGAAATATTGGATGATGAGTAAAACTGAGAGGGAAAAAAGAGGCAGCAAGATGACATCTGATATCTCGCCAAGAATGTTGAGTCTGTTTTCATCATCGCCCATCCGTCCACGTACCCACTCGTCTACGGAGCAGGGTCTGTATGCAGTATCGTAGCTTTGATCCATCCTGCTGCTACTCTGGCAATACGGGACCCTCAAGCAGGGGGGAAATACGGAGAGAGAGACTACGGCTTTGTTGAAGGCATGAGATTTGTACAGCACCTATCTTGGACAAAATCTCTATTGTTACTTCTTCTCCTTTTATTCTTCTCCTTCTTAATAATTCTCATTCTACTGAAATGGCTTCTTATATCCATCTATACGAATTTATAGATTACATGCCTCATGCAGTTCTACCAACATCCTCTCATCTTCATCTTCATCTTCCACCTCCCTCCCTGAGCATCGCTCTCGTTTATTCTGTCTCTATCACACGGACGAAACGGCATCGGCATATTCACCTGTGCGCACGAGCACCCGCGGCAGATCCTTAGCTGTCAAACTACGGATTTGGCCGACATGCGCCTCTACCGTACACTGAATGAATCCGTCTCTCTCTCTGACCAGACCAGACAGGGGGTTGAATAGCATGGAATCCCCCAAGGTGTCTTACTGTCTGACGCCTCAGCTGCTGATTTCCAATGCGCCCGCCCACTTTGCAACTTGGAATCTTTGCCCAAACAAGCAGCCAGTTTTCTTCTTCCTCTTCTCCCTTTTCTTTCTTTACTTTGTTTCTAGTCTCTTTCCCATCTTGGCCTTTCTCTAAGGCTTTCCGTTTCGTTTATGCCCTCCCCGAACTAGAACGCATCGTCGCATAAAAAACACTCTCTATCAATAGCATCATCCCATCATCCCAATTTCCCGAGAAATAGGCTATCCAGCTAATCAAGCCTTGGCGCCTTTTCCCTTCCCGTCACAAAATGTTTCTTTTTTTAGCCCCAAGGAACAGTACTGGGTAAAAAGCAATCGGCTCCTTTTTCTAGCTGCCTGCATCACGTGAGGCTGCTTTTCACACCACCTCGGTTCGGATGAGCAGAGCAACGAAGAGCGACATGAGAGAGCTTGGACTACAAGTAACGGCTGCAGGCATGGAGTACATACGGGGGGTAGCAGGGAAGATGCACTCCGCATCTCATCTCGAATCAGCTGTTTATTCTTATTTGCCCAAGTTACTTCGTACGGACTATCAAATTCATTCCCTGAATTCCATGGGCTGCTTAAGCCCAACCCCTGCACATCTGAAGACGCCTGAAGCAAGCCACCCAACGCCTCTCTAATCCGCACGGCCCAAGAAGGATCGAGATGCGCAAACGCCTAGAAACTGTGCTTTGGATGAGCTAATATTTATTGCCCCCAAAGGATTTGAAGGCCCAATTCCGCAGTCGCTCTGATTCTGACCCAGCGGATCGACTTGGTCGCACAAGACGTGGCGGTGAATCCCATCCCTCAGATCTACAGTATGGAGTCCAAAGGCTCCGCATCGCAGCATCCTGGGTGTCCATCCGGCAGCCAAACGCTCTGGCCATCATCCTTGATCTGATCCCTCCAATCTTTTTTCACCGTCATATTAAGTCGGCATTACCTAAAAAGTGTCCGATGGAGGTAGAGCAAAAGATAAGCTCCCGGCTTCGGGACAGCTCTTCCCACAAATCATACTGTGCTCTAGACAGCACGGTGCGGCATGCCAAGAAGATGACCATCACACCCTCCGCACCTCACTAGAAGAGGCGCATCGCATCGCGATGGTGACTGGAAATTGGAAATAAGTGTGGCGCAGCCTCGTTCAAGACGGCCCTGGCCCTGGCATCTGGTTGAAATCAAACGGCTCAAGCCCAGGCCCCACGATGGGAAGCTGGGCACTCAAGAACTCGTCTGTAATAAGAGTGCCAAGATCGTCTCCCAAGTTCTCCAGGAAATTATCGTTGTTTACTTGTAGTCCATTCATAAGATCCGGCACATTGAGAGGATCCTCGGGTGGCATTGCCGTCTGCGTCTGCTGCGCCTGGAGGAGCACGTCCCGAATCTCCCGCACGCAAGGCCAGGTGTTCTGTATCTCGTCCATGGCTTGCATGATGAGTGACAGCGCACGTTCAATGTCCGGATCGCTCCACGATGCCTTTTGGAGGAAGCGTTTCATCATGACCGTGCTTGCGGCCGTAGAGAGCGTGTGCACAAAGTCCAGTGGGAGTGACCGGTAACGGTAGTAGCGAGAGTAGCTTCGCATTAGACGTAGAATCGCCTGCAAAGACTCGTAGCAAATTTCCACGTCTTCGCCTTCGGCAATGCCTGGGTTCTCAAACATGTGCGATGGCGGGCGGTGGAGGATGATCATGATGGTGTGAAACATCATGCTAATGACGTTTGAGATTAGCCCTTATGAACTTGATGATGATGGGATGAGGAATCTCTAGCAAACGACTTCAACTTACTGAAGATGTAAAACATACGGAGGCACCTGGCCAACCGTCCACTGATTCCAATGTAGGAAACTGGGGATACCCGCGAGCCACTTGGTCAACAACACATGGATCCTTCGCGTCTTAGTTGCAATTATAGTAGGATCTCCGCCTCCTCCTTTCCGGTTCTCGAACAAATCCGTGATGATGAGATGGATAATCTTGGCCAGTTCAGCTCGGTAGATGAACGAGCCCACGAGCGCCACGCCATTGTCCCATTCGTTTGCCGATGCTCCTTTGCAAATGTACGTCTCAAGAAGGCCTTGCCAACCCGGGGGATATTGCAGCCGGATAGTATTCCGCACGTCCGACTCGCCCGGGTACAGCGCCGGAGGTCTCCCGAAATAGAGGCTGAGTTGCTTATCAGCTGTAAAGACTGCCCAGTAGACTCTGCGCTGAATTTCCCTATCACCGCTCGTTTCGGAAGTAGATCCATCCCAGTTGGTGGGATCGAGATGAAGGCCCATTTCGTGCGCGAGGCGAAAAGCCATGCCGCAGAACAGCCAGCCTTTGGATGCCCGTCCCACAGCAATCTCATGGTATCCAAGTAGAACGAGAGCTTGAAGGGTTGTAAGGTCGGGGCTATCAAGGGTAGGATAAAGAAGGGCCTGGGCTTGGCCTGAAAAGATCTCGGAAACGTTGAGCATGTCATCGTATTGAAGAGCTCCTAGAGCACAGACGGCATAGAGCAAGACGTCTGAATAGTATTTCCCCGACCCGACATCATAGTCTCTCAGGAAATACTCGCGATAGAGAACCATGTTGTACGGGTAGACCTCTTGGAAAAATCTCGACATCATCTTCTGTGAAATCTCATGGTGAGGCTCGTACTGGAAAGACGCACTCATGGGGCTGAAGTCGTCCAAGTCCCCATACAGATCGCCCAGGTCCAGCTTGTTGTTATTGTTGTTGGCATTAATATTAAGGCTGTTATTATAGGGCTGTTGTCCATCTGTTGAAATGGCCAGGGACTCCATGCCTATGGCATTTGTCGGAACTGGGGACGAAGACGTCTGAGAAAAGTGTATCTGGAGTAAGCTCGTCCCTCCAAAGAACTGTGCTGCGTTGCCTCCTCTCAGTCGCCTAAGCTGGCCGGACTTGACTCGAGCAGCAGCAACGCTCGGGTCCGTCTTGATGTCGACTTGCCCGCCTTCCGCCAGAGCCGCATCATGAGCTGATGAGGTCAGCGACATCTCCGAGATGATCTGAGTGCGCTCCGCGTCGTCTGCCAGAGCAAGCTTGTGAATGACTCGCTCCAGCGCGGCTATCTGGCCCTCAAGAGCCTGGACATAGCTCTTTGAAACCGGCCTGCTCGGTGTTGTCATTAGCAAACAGAGACAGCTCTCAGCGAATCCCCCGCCTTACCGCTGCTTTTCTCCGATGCCTTGGAGGACACATTCAGTTCCCGCCTTGGCGCACTTGGAGCACGGGCGCTTCCGATCGCATTTGATCTATAGATGCAGGAGAAATAACGTCAGCATCCACAGAGCCATGTCAGTTTCAGAGAATAAGCCCGTAGCTAACCTTGCGACGACGGCATCGTTCACAGCTAAAAACGTGGTTTCATTAGTAAAAGCTCAGTGTCATCAGGTGAGAAGACTTACGACGTCCTGACGGAGTCTCCCAAGAGAGGCTCCTCCATTGCTGCATGTACACTGGGCCACCTCACAAGTGTAGAGGGAATGCGAAGAGTTGAGTGCCGTTCCGATCAATTGAATCAGCTGTGGTGGCGTGAGTTGGAAGCAGAAAATCCTGGCATGATGACTGCGGAGTTGAGGCTTCGCAGCTAATGTTGCAGCATGAAAGCAGATCGGAGGCTGACCGGCACGGCTTCCCGTTGGTCTGCGGCCGCCCCGGCGCTACGTCGCTTGGTCGCCTAAAAACCGGGGATATTGCCCAACTAGGACTATTCACAGCTACGGGACTCCAACTGAGACGACAAGAAAGATTCATCATCGATCTCATATATATATATATTTGTTCTTCTCAAGTGGCTGTGATTTTGAAATTTTGACAGTAAATTCATAAGACAGTAAATTGATCTTTTTCAAAATCGCTGCTCTGCGTCTGAAGATATATCCTTCTTCCTCTAGCTCACGAACAACATCAGCATTTCCCTTTCAACATGAAGACAACAGAAAGGCTGACTCAATCCAAAGACGGGCATTAGTCATAAACATCTCAACAAAACACATCACCTTGCGAGATCTTCGTCTCGCGCATCCAACACCAGCATGTGTCCCGGCGCATGTGCCATCACCACTCCCTCCAACCCAGCCCTCATCACTGCCTCCTGAGGCGTCACTCCGCAACCCCAAAACACAGGAATCTCCTCCTCCTCATCTTCAACTTCTCCATCTTTATCTTCACATCTTCTCTGCCTCTTCACCTCCCCAAACGCCCTCTTCCCATCCACATCCATCGGCGCATCCCCCCATTCCGGCCCATCAATATCCCTAATCCCAAGCCTCTCCACCGCCTCCCACCCCCAATCCAACGGCTCCCCATGCGTAGCCCCAAACCTCCTCGTAATCTCCCTCACCCTCTCGACATCCCGCCTCTTATACGGCCTCATCGACACCACATACGTCCCGCCCTGAAACACCCCCGAAGGGCACAACCGCAACGTCGTCCTGTACATTGGCACATTTCTCCTCAATAAAAGCTGTCTCGGCGGGAGTCCCACCTCTGCCAATGCCGTCTCAAATGAATAAGAACACCCAATTAAAAAGGCAACATGGTCGTCCGTCCATTCTGCCACCACGTCATTGCAATGGCTCTTTTCCAGCTTCGAGTCCTTGTATACCATGTAATGAGGAGCGTCTCTCCTTATATCACATCCTACGCCGAGAATCTCGTCGCCACGGAGCTTGTCGATATGGGAAATAACTGCATTGTCACATCCCTTGGTTGCAGACTCGGCAATCAGAGGACATGGGACCGGATTTCGAGCGCAAAGGTTGCGGAAGTCGTTTGCATATCGCGATGGTAGAATGATGAGATTGGCCTGTAAGTATCCAGGTGCGAGACCTGAAGTCCCTGCCTTGTGCGACTTGTTGTTCCGTGAAACTAATCGGGCCTGTTGCCCAGTTACGATGGAAGTGTTCATGATTGTGGATTTTGTGTTGACATGGTATCATCAAAGGCCTGCAACATCAGAAGTAAAGCAGATGCACAAGGTCTATATATCATTTACAATAACTATAATACTCGTCGTATTCAAATATTCGTAGTTGTTTAACCCCAATATACTGGCTATCTGCCTTAGTAGGCAGATCTCATACTTAGCTTATACCCACCCGCGATGGGGACGGAGTTGCGCCTCCGTCTCAACTACGATATGGAAAACCGCCAATTCTAAACTAAAAAGAGGCCAATACCAAACACCACATGAATAGGCATGTAATTAAATAGTGGGAGCAACAGGCCTCGGGGATGAACAGCGATCAAGCTAGAAGAACGGATGTGTCATTGACTTGGACATCTCAGGCATACTTGGTTTAGTTATTCTGCAAACTAGCGTATATCCCCACAAACCCTCTCATCAACGCCACATGACTTCTCTTCTCGTGGATGCATCAATAGTCCCCCATTGAACCATTCATAATTTGCTAGTATTAGGTAGTTGTGATGTTCAAAACGCCGCAATCGTCGTTGTGAGACACCTCATCCAGAACTCAAGCCAAACCACACACCAATCAACATTCTGTGAATCAGGTGTCTACCTTCACCTTGGGAGACCGTTCCCAAGTCCTCTTCACATACAAACGGACAGCTTTTTTGACATCTCGCGCCCACCGCTTGACACCCCGCCTCCCTTTCTCTTCTTTAACAGGAAGCGGTTGATCTGTTGTGCCTATTTCCGTCCCGTAAGAGCCATCTGGACCTTTGCTGGTAGGTGCGAGTGGAATAGAAGACGCCTTTTCATCCGTGCAAGGCACATCCAATGCCTCCCCTGGTGCAGTAGCGTAACTTTGCTGGCTGGCGAATCGCAACCGAAGTACCGAAAACTTGCCTCGCAGCCCACGAGGCCTGACTGCATTAGTATAAACACGACTGCTGTATATCTCAACCTCTTCTTCCCCATTTGCTGCTCTCCTGGCCGGAGATGGCGGATAAGGGATATTGAACTGATCAGACGGCTGTGGCGATGGCTCTAAACGGATAGATTGTTCCTCCGTTGCTGCCATGTTCGCTTCTGTTGAACCAAAGCTCGATGCTTGTATTTTGCTGCCCATGTCAATCCCGATTTGTTCATCTGCTGCATCCTTTTTAAGACAGGGTGCCAGGTCTGCGAGCGAGTTGCATTGTTTCAACCGATTGTTGTATGGAGAAAGCCCACTGTGGCCTGGTTGAACTTGATTACGCGGTATTTTGAGCTTCAGCTTTGGTCGCACTGCTGGCCCATACTCGTGATCGTGGCTGCCGGCATAAGTTCGCTTTTCACTCGTAACTGAGCATAATAGATTGGCACGCTTTCCGGGTGATAATGACGGTGCCCGAGCTCTGAGTTTTAACTTGGGGTGAAAGTCCTGCGAAAGCTGTGAAATTGCAGGCGAAGATGAAGTTTGCTTTGTTTCCAATGGCCACTTCATTGCTGCAGTACATTCTTTGCCCAACATCAAGCCGTTATGCCCCAAGTAGCCATTTAACAGTGGGGTGCCCGCAGTACCGTAGCCTGAAAGCTTCTCAGCTTCTCTTGGGAGCGGTGGTAGGGCTTTCATCAACTGAGGTATACTCTCCTTGACTCTTAGTTCACGTACAGGAGAAATGGGTTCTGGACAGAGGATTGCCAAGTTGTTGTGACGCTCCGGTGAATGCTGTACAATTTCGTCTGGGACAATGCCAGTTATGCTTATCCGCATAGCCGCAACATTCCTGCGGTGGCATTTTAGATATACACCATCTTCTTCGTCAACCGGGCCGGGTGATGTCGATGACGACTGCCGACTCGAGCGTTTTAGGGTAGCCGCGTGCAAATCATCCTGCTGGTACACAGAGGTGTCATGGCATCCTCCATTCATAGACTGCATCTCGTTGTCTTTTGAGATCTGAATCCTTCCCAAGCGGTCAAAAGATGACAAAACTGAAGCAAATTCCGACAACGCAGGATCCAACGAATATCTCAGCTTCGAAAGACCAATCTGAGATGACCGTTGACTCCAAGACTCGCTCGCCACATTAAAGTTGGTTTCTATTATTTTTGAAGGGGTCTGCAAAGGAGCCGGTGATCCCAAAGAAGTCGAACCGCTCGTCATTGAAAGTATATCAGTTGCATCTGCGTCTGCATCTGGTGACACTTGATCTGAGAGAATCAGTGGCTGGCTCTGATCTTCATCGGAAAGAGTTATCAAAGGGGTCGCCTTTGAACCTGGCTCAGGGGTAGATTGCCTTTCCATGGCACCATCTTCCTCGTTAGAAGTTGGCTGGTGAGCTTCATTATCTTCTGAATTGCCATCTGCGGCATCCGACAGCTGGGAAGGCTCTATTGAAGTCTTTCCGACCTCTTGCGCATTGGATTTGATCGAGTCTGGGTAGTTACCGCTTACTTCAAAGCTTCCCTGGATATTATCCAGTAGCAACAGAGAGTGGCGAATGTTTTCAACCCTCTGCGGTATGGGATGTAGCGGTACGTCCAAATCCATGTCCCAAGGCGGCTGGTCCTCGAATTGCTCACTGTAGTCGTAGTAGAAAGAGCCGGGCGATTGGACGGGCGGCGGCGCACAATTCGAGTTTGAAGTCACTGGCCTATCATACATTTCAACGATGGAAGTTAGACTTGCCGAGCGAGTACTTTGGTCGATGGAGCCTCGCTGGTGCCGATTCGGCTGCCTGGCGAACCCCCACGGCAAAGAAGGATTGGGACCTCTGGCATGGCAAGGCACTGGTGCATAGAGATAAGGTGAGTGTAGCGTTCTCGATGGTAATGAAGACGTTGACCTATTTACATCGGAACGAAAGGCCATTGGAAGGGGTCGTCTAGGGCCATGGTTATAAGTAGGCTTGTATGACCCATGAATAGTTCTCTATGATAAAGTCAGTAATTAGATGACCCCAGCAGAGATTTGAATTCGAGCACATACTTGGGAAAACCGATCAAGCTCAACCATTCTACTGTAGTCGATATCCCCATTCTCCCTGAGAGCTGGAGAGGCTGGTCGAACCCCTGGGCGCTTCAGTCGGGTTGGGTATGGAAAAGGAGATCTCGGGCGTTGGAAACCACCTCCGCTTGACTGACTTTGTAATGTGCCAGTGGATTTTTGAGATGGAATCCGTTTTGAGCTGGTTGTAGTCATGGAGTATGATCTGGGGTCGTCGTCGATGCTCGTTGGCGAGACTGAAGACAAGAGTGTTTTCTGACTTTCGGAACCATAGAGAGAAATGATTTCAGACGTAGTGTCGCGATATGAACGCAGCCTCTTAGGGCTATCTGGGCGGCAGTAATAGCCATCATCATACCCCGAAAAGCGTGCAGGCAGCGGTAGATTTGCCTCCCTTGGATGGGATCTGGACCTTTTGGGACGAGCGAAGGCGGCCGAGGAAGAATTTGGCCCGATGGAAAAGATGCCAATGTCACCAGTCTCGGTTGTGGTCTTGAGCATGCTCTCCAGGGGATCTGGGGAGCGTAGAAGAGCGACATTTTCGTTGACACTGCGCAGCGGGTGTCTCTGAGCTGGTGGACGCGGATTAGTGTAGTTGATCA